ATAAAAATTATTTTGTTCATACATTTTTGCACAAATAAAGTTTGGATATTTGTATTAAAAAAAAGAAAATATTTCGAGTTATAAAATATGACGCCTACTTTGATTATTTATTAAATCGAACCTTTTCTATGAATTACGGTAAAATAATCCCATAAAAAAGATAAATTGCAGTCCAATAATTCAGCCGATCAGCAGTGTTAACACAAAAAACAAACAGATCATAATCAACTAATTTTTTATAAATATATGAAAGATTTCGTTTAAAAGTCAGTTGTAATTAAGTTAATAAATGACAGGAACAGTAAGCGAAGCTATTATGGAGGCTTACCAAGAAAACTGTCCAGAAAAAAACAAGGAAAAGTACGGACAGTAATACAGTCTGGTGTAACAACGGCTTAAAGAGCATGAGGTCGAAAGTACGAAGCTTATTTAATAAAGCCAAAAGTAACCAAGATTGGGATGCCTACAGGTATAAGCTAACGCTATATAATAAAGAAATTCGGAAAGCTAAAATGAATTCATGTAGAGAGTTTTGTGAGCAGATTGCTGATATCCCGGCATGTTCTCGAATACATAAAGTCCTGGTAGGATGGTGCTACAACGAAAGAAGTAGGTTTCGTAAAGAAAGCTAATGGCAAATTACGTACACCAAAGAGGAAAGTCTTAGAGAACTGATAAACACGCACTTTCCGGGCTTAACAATTCTGGATGATGCAGATAGGCAAACCAACACAGACCAAAGGCTCACTAGGCCAAGGCCTACAGATTAGGAAATAGCCACAGCAATCACAAGACCAAACAGAATTAGATGGGCTATAAATAAGTTTCAGCCATAGAAGCCTCCAGGGACAGATGGCATATATCCAATACTATGGGATTAGAGGTATTGATACCACACCTATGCAAGCTCCTCAAAGCCAGTTTAGCATTGGAAGTCGTACCGAAAATATGGTAAAAGTTTAAAGTAATATAGTTGCCTAAGGTAGGTAAAGTATCAGACCTAACACCAAAGTCATATAGACCGATAAGCCTATCTTCTTTTCTATTAAAAACGCTGAAAAGGCTTCTTAATAGATATATCAGAGACGAAGTGCTAAAAGATAATCCTCTAAGAAATCGTCAATATGCATACCAACCTGGTAAATCTACGGACTCTGCGTTGGATGATCTAAATAGGCTTACCTCAAAGTCAATGGAAGACAAAGATATAGCAATGGCCGCTTTTTTAAGGGTATAATATCCCCGCAGGGATAAGGGTATCCCTAGAGAATAGGACAGTAATGTCCACTCTGGGCAAAGCAACCATCAAAGCAAAAGTAGGTGAAGGCTGTCCACAAGGAGGAGTTCTATCCCCTCTACCTTGGACAACCTTGACAGATGATCTCAGAAATTTGTCCACAGAAGGCTTTTATTGTCTAGGATATGCTGTTACTGATAATGGTACAGAAACTAAGCTTCAGTTTATTGTACCTAAAAGTAAAGTGTCAGTAGTATTGCGTCAGTTTCATGACAGTGTATCAGGTGGACACTTTGGTATTACGAAGACTCTGCAAAAAGTTCGAGAACGGTTCTATTCGGTGAACTATAAAGATGATGTAAGAAGATGGTGCCGGAAATGTGAACTGTGTGCAACCAGTAATGGTCCAATTGGTAAAAAGAAAGCACCCATGAAACAGTACAATGTTGGTAGTCCTATGGAAAGAGTAGCAATCGACATTGCAGGTCCACTTCCAGCGACAAATGATGGAAATAAATATATCATGGTAGCCATGGATTATTTTACGAAATGAACTGAGGCCTATGTTAAATTGTTATTGTTATAGTTAAAGAATTTTTTAGCCGATTTGGTGTTCCCATGGAGATCCACTACGACGAAGGGCGAAACTTCGAGTCAACCCTTTGCCAAAACGTTTGTAAATTGATTGGTGTCAATCAATTTACCAGGCCCAATTTACCAAGACCACAACGACACCTCTGCATCCTCAATCAGATGGAATGGTCGAGAGAACGAACCAAACGATTGGTAAACACCTATATAAAGTTGTATCAGAAAATCAAAGAGATTGGGACCAGCACATTCATTTATTCCTAATGGCCTACCGCTCGGCCGTGAATGAGACTACATGCCAGACTCCAACCTGCATGATGTTAGGTCGTGAAGTTCGTTTGCCCTGAGACCTGGCTGCAGACCTTCCGAAGAACATGTTGCAAGTGAACATTATGTCGACCGCCTGAAGTTAGAATGAACAACATTAATAAACTTGCCCGACAACACATGCAGTTAGCCAGTGACAGAATGAAAGATCAATATGATTCCCGATGCAAGAATGAAAGCTGCGAAGTAGGTGATCTTGTTTAGCTTTATAATACACAACGACGTCGAGGCTGGTTGGTCTCCTAAATTGCAAAGACAATGGAAAGGTCCGCATGAAATTAAAAAGAGAATAAATGACGTAATATACCAAATTAAGAAATTGCCGAAAGGTAAACCAAAAGAAGTTCACATAAATCGTCTTGCATCATATGCTGGCTCAAGTAAAACAGAAGAAGCACGAACCCTTCAACATGAGATCAAAGATGACCAGCGACCAAGCTTTAATGAATTCATGTCAAATTACGCAGAGAGAAACAGTACTAGATTCGGCGTGACCACAGAAATTCAGCAGGATCTTTTTAGTGTTCCGCATAACGTCTATCTAGCACACTGTGTTGGCCAAGATCTTGATACGACTAAAGGGATCTCATCCGTATTTTATAAGAAGTTCGGTCGTTTGAACGAGTTAAAAAACCAGCAACCTAAAGTTGGAAGAGTACTGAGATTAGGCGATGATTCTCGATCTTTGCTGTATATGGTGACCAGGAAGTCGTATACAGACAGGGCAAGCTACGATTATATGGCGTGGTCTAACTAATTTGAAGAAAATCGTCTGCAATTATGACATCAATAATTTGGCCTTACCCAAGATAGGCTATGCACTAGATAATCTGGATTGGAAGATTGTCAGAATCATGCTTGAAGTGATCTTCCGAGAAATCGGCGTAAGAATTAAGACCCGTTTACATGGGTAGAGTAATTATGCAAGTACTTGGTAGAGTAGAGTAACTCTACCCGTAAAAACGCTCAGCGCAGTAGAGTAGCAAGTATAGTGCATAGTAGGTAGTAGAGTAGAGTGCATAGTAGGTAGTAGAGTAGAGTGACTACCAACATGTGGCAAAGTAACTCTACTACCACCACCACCGCCAAAATGTCCACTCGCCCGCGCACTCTACTCATGGAACGCGGTCAATTCTGGTAGAGTAGAGTAGGTAGGAGAGTGCATAGGGACGCTGTCATTCCGGTGGAGTTGTGTATTATGTAAAAAGTAAAAATGAAGTTCACTGAAGATGAAACTTTAAAACTAGTAGAGATGTATGGCGAATACCAGTGTTTATGGAATTTAGGTAGTGTACAATACAGAAATAAAAATATGAGGCAAACTGCGGAGGATGAAATCGTCGAAAGAATGGCAAAAGGGGGCTTTGGAGTAAACGAGCTCAAGCAAAAAATTAAGAATATAAGGTGCACTTATAATTAAAAGTGTCTAAAAATACAAAAATCAAAAAAATTGGGTTCAGGTTCAGCCGACGTATACGTCCAGAACGTGAAATGGTTCACTCCCATGGAAGCAATCATGAAAGGTGCAAAAGGAAACAAGAAAACTGAAGGCTCACGGGTAAGTTACAGGTTTTTATTACTTGTTAATGAAAAACACAATAAGAAATAAAAAATGTATTCTTATCAAGATAAAAGTGAATGACTATATATCAGATTTGACAGTAAACCGGTTGGCTGCCATAAAATTAATGTCATGTTGATTTTGTTGCGATTTTGTCATGGACCATATTCAGAAGTTCTTCGAATTTCCCTGGGGTCATCCTTAGACACATCTTATATTCCAACTCATCCTTAAGGCAAGTTCTCTTAGCAGAAGAGCTCAGGCCCCGTGTGTATTCCTTCTTTTAAGCCAGTCTTTTATCCACTCCTTTCTTTGTTTGTTTACCTCATCATCGATAGCTTCAGTGACTTCAGTTACAAATGCATTTGCAACTGTAGCTAAACAATTTTGAATCTATTTTCTTTTTCTTGAATTCATTTTGCACTAAACAAACACCCACTCCACACTATACTAGCATCAGTACTATACTTGTAACTCTCCTCGTGTGAACGGTATCAAGCCATTTTTTGTAGAGTAGCGAATAGAGTCGACTCTACTTGCTACTCTACTCTCCTCGCAACTTTACCCGTGTAAACGAGTCTTTACTGAGTGTTGCATTAACCGGAAGAAATCGTTTCCTTCAAAGTCAGTAGACTTGTATTTCTTCTTGAGGGGGTCATGCAGAGCTGGAGAGGCCTGTAGATTCCGCCATCCTGGGCCTACATATAGAGTTACTGATCGGGACGCTCAGATCTAAGAGGGAAGCAGTGTTACGAACATGCTTTCGGCGTGGCTCATCTAACGGTTGCATCTCGAAAGGGCATCGAGAACCTTGCACAGATGTATCGAGCGCAGGAGAAACCGACCCGACAAACAACGAATAAGAGGTGGGGCTACTCAAGATGATTCTAGAACAATACTTTTGGTATATATGTAACGATGTTATGAGTAGTGAAGTTTTTAAGATATTACCGAACTGTAAACATATAAATAAATATATTTATATAAATTCGAACCGCTCGTTTTATTTAAAAAAACGGTACAATATTATAAGAGGAATAAATTTATTTCCTCTATGAAAATCATACTGACAAACCGACTTTACATACTTATTGAGCACTTTGTTCACGACCGAGTCACTTCTGCTTACCCAGAAATTCTATTGTGTCTTTAGGCATAACAAAAACTAATAAATAAATAAAAATAAATGTTCAGGTATGTTAGACTTGCCAACTTACTAGTTATTTACGATACTTTGCACCGAATATTTACAAATTTTAAAAACACACCTATCTCCTAATCTACTTAAATAATTTGTACATCTATCCATACACTCTCACTCTTGGTGTTTGCATTACTAACTTTAATATCGAAGTTAGGACTATGACTAATATTGTCCAACCTACAACTTTGTAAAAACACAGCCATGGAACGGTAGTACCCTTGTAATTGCCACGTTTCGTTGTGAGTGCCCGCAGGTACTTGTAGCAGCTGCTTCCTGATACTATTGCAGCGGTTGTGGAGTTCCTGCATCATCCGAGGAGGCACTAGCGAGTCTGCCATACCTGATATGAATAACGTGGGCAGTCGAAGGCTTTTCACTTTCTGATATGATAGGAACTGAAATAAAAAAGAAATAACGAAAAATATTGCATAAGAACAAAATATTAGCTTATTACTCATATGGAACAAACGAGACTATTAACTCATTAACGTCCATCGAGATGAGAAAAATATGACTTTTTTAACATGCATAAAAGAATTAGAGAATTAACAGGAATGAGAAAAACACTTCAAATTAGGCATCTAAGAGATGAAAGTGGTGCACTTATAACAGATATAAACCAAAAAATGCAGAGATGGACACAATATATAGCACATCTTTTTGAAGACAAAGAGAGAACAGAATCACCAAAAGAATTTAAGGATAATACGAGAAGAAATTGAATATGCAATGAAACAAGCTAAAGGTGGTAAATCTCCCGGGCCTGATGAAGTTCCTATCGAATTACTCAAAATTGTCAATACTGAATCTATTGATCTTCTTTTGGATCTATCCAATACCATATATACTTACTTTACTTTATCGTGTCCGGACATGTCATTCATAAATTTCGGCCCAGTATCGGGCTACGTCGGTTCCATCTTTGTTGGCGAGCCACAAATCTTCAACTGTACATCGATGAGGACAGTTTCTGCATGTAAGAAGATGTTCCATACTCTGTGTTTCTTCACAGTCACAGTTCACATCATCTTGGTCTATTTTTCCCCATTTTGCCATGTTTGATTTTACTGTAGCAACTTCCGTTCTTATCCTATTCAAGGTTTTCCATGTTTTAAAGTCTAGGGTCTGGCCGGTCCATTGAACCTGGGGAAGTGGAAAATACTCAGGCGGTTCATCCTGCACTGTTCCAAGGAAGCTTTTCCTAGATTTTAGTCGCTTTCGTGGTGTTCGAGCTTTGTATAGGGCATGCCGATCGTCCGCGATCTGTTTAATTTTCTCTATGTGTTCTGCAGCTCCTCTGCGTGTTGAGAGTTCTGCAAAACCCGCTGCTCTATATAGATTTGAAAGTGGCGTTGGTTTCATGCACCCCGTTACTATCCTGCATGTCTCATTTAGCGCAGTGTCAACTTGTGTGGTGTGGGCAGATCTGCTCCAAACGGGGCACGCATATTCAGCAGTTGAGAAACACAGTGCCTGTGCCGTTGTTCTTAAAATTCCAGGACGTGCACCCCATTTACTTCCCGTTAGCTTTCTGAGTATGCTGTTCCTAGTTGTTACTTTCCCTCTTATTTTTATGCAATGTTGTCTGTAGGTGAGGGACCGGTCCAGAGTTACTTCAAGATATATAGGTTGGTTTGTGTGTTCTAATGCATTACCATTCCACACAATTTGGAGTTTTCGCTTGGCTTCCTTTGTGCGAAGGTGGAAAGCGCAGACTTGGGTTTTAGAGGGATTGGGTCTCAGAGAATTCTGCAGGTAGTACGCTGTCATTGTTTTTAAGGCAGTTTCGAGTTTCTCCTCTACTTCTTCAAAACTATTTCCTTGAGCACATATTGCAAGATCGTCAGCATAGAGGAAGTGCTTGGTTTCGGTCGGAGTAGGTTGGTCGTTTGTGTATATATTGAAGAGCATTGGTGCTAAAACACTTCCCTGTGGGAGGCCGTTTTTTGAACTCTCCACCTACTTACTTTACCCTCCGGCATAACGAAAAAATGTGTATTTTGCAGTAAGGAATATACGACCTTTCCCAGATGGTGGTCATTGATAGTGTCGTATAATTTGCGGAGCAATGTTTTGTGCCTTACTGTGTCATAGGCTGCTGTCAGATCTACAAAGGCAGCCCCTGTTATAAGTTTTTCTTCAAAGCCCTCTTCAATGTGTTCTGTTAATGCGAGGACTTGACCGGTGTAAGATTTGCCAGGTCTGAATCCTCCTTGTTGTGGGATGAGGTGCTTGTCGACATTTTTTTCTATTCTGGCGAGTATGAGTCTCTCGTATAGTTTAAAAAAGTGACACAATAGCGAAATAGGTCTGTAGCTACTGGGGTCTTCTGGATCCTTTCCTGGGGACAAGGAAGGAGCCTCCACGAGATCAATAGTGCCACATCAACTGCAAAGTAAACACTATTGACGGCGTCCCCTAAAAACGTCTACTAGTAGACGGCTAATCCTTCCAACACCGGACCAATGGCAAAGATCAAGCCACAATGGTTCTTCTCAGAACAAAAAGCATATGTTTCATTTATTTTAAGAAGGCATTTGACAGTGTGCAGCATAATCGGCTTAAAGAAATTTTATTAAATAAAAAATAGACAGTAGAGACATTAGAATCATATGTAACCTCTATTGGAACCAAACAGCAAAAGTGAAAGTTGAAAATGAACGGACTGAGGATATCCAGATTCGCTATGGGGGGTACAATACAATTTGTACTATTATGTCAGAAATAAAAAATGCGTTACATATAATGAAATGTGGGAAAGCATAGGACATGATATTTTCCACTAGGAATTCCGAAAGTTGTGGCGATGATGGAATTGAATAGTGAACAAGAATATTCAATTGTGTTTATGAGACCAAGTAGCAAGTATAAAGAAATAATAGGAAATGGTAGAGATGTAATATCCTTCATAAAAATATGTAGGCTTAGAATGGGCAGGACATTTGTCAAGAGCCAATGAAAATTACCTATCCAACCGAACTCTATTAGCGATAACAGTACAGATGGAGGGATGGTGTGGAAGAGGACGTCAGAAAGATCAGCGCAGCAAACTGGTAACGGTGGCAATGAACAGAAACGACTGTCGAAATGGACTAAGGAAGATGGAGACTCAACTAGGGCTGTAGCACCATTAATGTTAATTATGATGATGGTGTCTTGAAATGATGTGTGAAAAATGGCTCCGATCAGTGCAGTAAGTTTGCAAAATTCGAATTATTTTTCTACATTAAAAAAAAACACTATTGTCAAATGGCCAACCAACCTGCAGGCTGGATAACGATTAAAACCTCTACCTTTATTTTATTTTCTGTTTATGGTCTCAAAGTTTCTTCTGGTTTAAAAGAATGTTTTATTTATAAACTAGTTAAAAAATTATGTTATTTTTAACGGTACAAAAAATGTGTGCGTCATTCGTTCTATTGAAACATTAGTGCTATCAGTCATAAAAAGTTCCTATGTATTTAAAGGTATGTTTTTATAATTTTTTGAATGAAGCACTTTGTTTTTTTTTATTGTGGAGTTCATTTTAATTATCTGTAAGCTAAAAAAGTGAATGAACAGTTATTAGCAAGTAAATTTCATAAATTCTCACTTTTTTAAAAGTACAAAAAAGGATAAAAAATATTAAGACCATACGAACAAAATGAATGTTTTAGTGCTTGCCTAGGGCTCAGAATGATCATTCGAAAATAACCTATTTTTTATAAACTCCGGAGAAACAACTAGAATTCTGGAAAAACTACTGGGCCAATCATGTCAATCTTTCATATTTGATGAAAAATCATATAAACTCACAATTTGGGAAAATTTAGTATAATTTTATTGATTATTAAAGACGCTATTCACACTTAGAGAAAAACCCATTGTGTGCCTCACTTTCATAATGTTTCAATGATTTTAAACCTTTATTGCTTGGTCTATAGGTGTTAGTTCTAGTTTCGTTGTCCCAAACCAACAATTGACATTCTATTCTACTACTATTCTAGACTACTATTCATATCTATTGGGTCATATCAATATGTCAAGCAAAAAATCACTTCCATTAAGACAAAGCCCTTCCTGACAAGACAAAATTATATCACTTAGACTTACTTATATACTTATATAGACAAATCAAGATAGATGCACAAGAAGAGCAAAGGAGGAATACCGGACCCTAAGAAGAGAAGAAAAAGGATTACATAGAAGAAAAAAAAACAATTTGAAGAAAAGCAGTTAGAAAACATACAATGGCTAAGAAATCAAAACGAAACTCGAAAGTTCTACAGAAATGTAAATAAAATGAGTAGAATTTAAGCCAAGAGTAGGGAGCTGTAAAGATGGGGAAGCAAATATCCTAGGTGATACGGCCTAAATCTTGAACTGATGGGTTGAATTTTCCGAATAACGATCTTAAAGCAAATCAAGAACGTGAAACAGCATTTGGAAGTCATACCTTTGAACGTGTCGACAGCTTCACATACCTTGGCTTACTAGTGACTACTACCAATAAAACAAGCGAAAAAATTAAAAGACGAATAAACCTTACAAATGGGGCATACTATGGACTCCAAAAACAATTTCACTTAAGAAATATCCAAAGAAAAACTAAAATTATTATATATAAAACACTGCCGAGGCCTGTCCTCACATACGGGGCGAAACATGGACTCTGACACCTTACTGTACAAGATGTCGTAAAATACAGCGACTTAAATGGGCCGGATACATAATACGAATGCATTACGAATAACCGATGGCGAATTAGGTGATTAGATGAGTTGAGACCGACGAAAGCTACGGTTTGTTAGAACAGTGCGCAGTAGGGATGTGTAGTTCACCATCGAAATAGTTCTAATGAACGATTCTTTCAACTGAACTAATTGAACTAGTTCATTAATTTTCATAGAACTAGTTCACTGCGAACGATTTGCATTATAAATTATGTCTAACTTCTAAAGAAGAAAATAATGAATGAATAAATTAGAACATATATTTATTATTTTGTGAATGGATGGACTAACTAGTTTAAAAAAAATGTCGATTAGCCTCAGATAACAGATTCATAATTCTTATGAATGTGACAATAACATTAAGTCTTATCTTAATGTCATAATGGTTCGGATCTTATGCCCATGTATTGGCTTGGATGTTGCCATGCTGTGTTGTTTCTTGTATTGTAATTTTGAAATAAAAATTTTAGTTGTGTTAAAATGATTGAGGCATTTACATAAAATATAATTTTATGTAAAAGTGAGAATGAAAATGTGTTATTTAATGTTCCTAGAAAATTCACTGATTTTTTTTTGTAAAGGTTCTTTTAGAAATAACCTAATTATAAATACCTACGAGTTTAAATATACGTAAATATAAAAATAAATCATACTTGAACCCTATTTATATTTAAAACGGTTAATAAAAAACAAATCTTAATAATATTTTGCAAATAAAAACTAACTAATCATATAATAATTTAAACCATTTAAACTTAAACATACGATCGAAAGAAATAGTTCCGAACTACTTGTACGGTAGTGAACTAAGTGAACTAGTGAAAGACTGAAAGAAAACGGGCGGCTGGCGCCGAGCTTGTGTGATGATTGAGACGAGACATCTGGCAACCAGTTCTGTTAGGGTTGGATTTCGATGTCGGTCCTACAAAGTTCTTTCGCGAACTAGTTCACTGAACTAGTTCATTTTTGTGAAATAGTTCTGTTGAACTAGTTCGTCTAAAAGAACTAATAAGCACACCTCTAGTGCGCAGCGCACGGCATACGCATACAGCAGAATCTGTTTCACGGCAGTTTTGGGTGAGTCGGTTTGTTAGATTCGTATGGCATACATAGATTCTGTTGCGCTGAAGTTTAAACCATGAGTTATAAATTTGTTCTCTTAAAGGTTGTATGTTTAAAAAATGACTTCTCGCAAATTTAACGCAATATTTTAATTCTCCAAGAAGAAAAGGAAGAACAAGAGTTGATAATACCAAATCTAAATAAAACAAATAAAAATGTAAACGAAATTATTTCATGTCGTAATACGGAAGGTGCTTGTCGAAAGAGGATTGTTTTAAAACGAGGAAAAATTTTAAGAATATTTTATACTTTCCATGGATTTATTTGAAACTCTTACAAATTATAAGGGATGATATTACTAAAAAACCGTACAAAAGAAGACACCACCTAATTATTACTATTAATTATACACCTAATTATAACTATTACAATAATAATAACTATATTTCAGTATAGATATGTATGCTGTGAGTTCAGCTGAACGTTTGCGTCAAAATCAAACTGTTCTAACAAACCATAGCTATAGGGATTCTAGAGATCAGAAGATGGCAACACATTGCCAGAAACTGAACAGAATGGAGACTAATCTTAGAGCAGGCCAAGATCTACAGAGGATTGTCAATCCAAAAATGATGATAATGATATAAATTTTAACAACTTACTTTATTTTTATAGAAAAATAGTGGAAAGTACTGAAGCATCCTCCAACCTAATAATACTTTCGCCATATCAGGTATGCTTGTAAACGTATTTTCTACAATTAAACACCAGATTTTTCCTACATATTCTTCTCTTGTAGCCAAATCTATAGCAACAGCACCACCTAGAAAAGAGATTAACATATTTGGTTTTGAAGGCAAGACAATAAGATCAATCTACATCATCTACATCACTACAAAAACTATTGCAATTTTCTTTTATGAATTTGATAAACATTAAACTTTTGAATTTTTAAATCAGTTAATGAAACCGCATATTACAAAATAAATTATTTATTTCAGAAGTTTCAACTTCCTCATCAGAAGCGTGTACAAATTTTAAAATAAACAAACATGACAGATTATACCCGTTTTAAGTTAGGAGTGGCTCATCTACACATGTTACACTGCTAGCAAAATCTTAAATAATGTTACTTTTTTGAAAAATTTCTTATTGGTGTATCATATTGTATTGTTACTGTAAATATGACTCATAACTTTAAACATATTATTTTTAAACCATTCATCTTTTCTAGATCATACACCAGCCGGCAGAAACTTCAGGTAAAAAAAACTGAGGGGTAAATGAAAACCAGTCCGGTTGACCTTCTTGTCTGTTCGAAGGGAATCGCCGGAATTCTAGTCTAGTGGTTGATTAGTATATATGGTACATTTTATGTTTTTCAGTTTTCAGCCCGAAATAAATATTGTAAATAGATATCAATTAAAGTAGTTGTGTTCTAGTTCTTAGTGATAAATGAAAAATGTAATAAATATATAAAGATTCTAATAAACTTGTAAGTGTTATAAATGTAGAACCTTTGATAATAAATAAAGACAATAAATTAGATTAATAAAAATACTACAGTATTCAGTATATTGAATTTAGAAATTAAAGCCAAAAAGATCCTTATGTTCTGAAAGTATTTTCACACTCAATTGTACTCAATCAAGAGGTAAGTAAGTAAATCGATCTATAGAAAGCAGCAGTTTAAAGATACAGGCCTATTTAGTTAAAAACTACTTATTAATCATGTAGAAGCCTACATTTGATCATACTATTGATCTTGTAGAAAAAAATTGAGCCTTAAGAGGATATTTTTTAAACAACGCATTAGTAAAACTGAAAAATAAAGCATATACAGGGTGTTCCAAGATGTTTTTAACAGCCGATAACTCAAGAAGTAATAAATATTCTTATTTGAAAATTGGGAAATGTCAATTGGGCTTACAGTACTCTTAATTTATGCATACATGAGATCTGTGAGGTGATCGCGGGCGTAGTGACGTCATTACATTGGAAAAAATTAAATGGATCAGGGAGGTGAAGGTTAAATTTTCAACTTGATGTTTATTTTTAACAATAGTCAATAATGTTCAATATGTGAAATAATTTTATAGGAGGTGTTCAAAATGATCTCCTTCTGCTTTAACACAAGCGTCAAATTGTCTAAGCAGTTTATGTCTACATTCCGCATACCATGCGGTCCATATGTATGGAATAAATTCATTTTTAGTGTTATTAAGTACCATGTGAAAAAAAACCTGAAACAGGTCGATTTTTATTCTTAAATTGACAATTTACAGTATGAAAATAATATCCCCCTCCAGCACACCCTCGAAAATTTTAAATAGCAAAGGGGGTCGTGCAGTACCTTGTTAGAAAGGGATTTTAGTCCTCTGTTCAGTAATATTAAGTTTTTTAAGTTTGGTGCAATAATAACCTAGAAAATTGATTTTTAAAATGTAACTTTGATAATGTCTTACCACAAAACTTTAGGTTGAATGAAGATAATAATGTCACATAATATTTAGAATGTATTTTTCAATGTACTTTACAATTAAATTAAATGTTCCAAATGACCACTATTCACTTTTTGACAATACCCGAGGCGATTTTGGAATTCTCGTACATTTTGTACGACTCCGGAAGTTATTTTGTTAATTTCTTCCGTTATCCTAACTTTTCAATCAGCAATATTGTTTGGTCTAGTAAATTATACTTTTGATTTTAAATAACCCCATAGAGAAGTCAAATCGGGGGATCTAGCCGGCCATTCGATTGTTCAATGTCTTCCAATCCACCTATTGGGAAAAACCTCGTTTAAATAATTTCTAATTATAAGTGCAAAATGCAGTAGAGCTCCACCTTGTTGATAGTAAAAAGGTTCATCTATCTAATTTGGATGATTAACATTAGGAAAAAATCTTCGTAATACAGTAGAGCTCCACCTTGTTGGTAGTAAAAAGGTTCGTCTATCTAATTTGGATGATTAACATTAGGAAAAAATCTTCGTAATGTATGCACTAAAAAGTTAATAAAAAAATCTAGATTAACCTCATCATATAATAATTTTATTGTTAATAATACCAGCCCAATCGTTAATTTTTTAGAATATTGCGTGTGAGTCTCACACACTCAGTGAGGATTTTCTCTGCTCCAATATCTACAGTTCTGTTTGTTAACCGTTCCGTTTAAATGAAACGTCGCTTAAACAGAAAAAAACTATTTTGTTTATGAACTGCAAATCTGCGTTCATTTTGTCCATCATTATTTCACAGAATTCTTGCCTTCTCATCTTCATTTAACTCCTGAACCAACTGAACTCTGTAAGGGTGGTATTTTTCTTTATGTAAAATTCTCAAAATAGATGATTTACTTAGATCATTGATGGCGGCAAGTTCTCGAGTTGTCTTATGCGGATTTTCCTCAATCTCTAGAAGTACATCTAACTTTTTTCCATCAATAAATTTATTATTTCTACCTGGTTTTTCAATATTTTTTACATGTCCAGTTTAACGAAAGTTATTTGCAATTGTGCTAACTGTAGACTACGAAACTTGTTGACCAGGGTATTCATTATTAACATTTCACAAACTCCTTTTGAGCTCTTGTTTTATTACCACAACCAATCATAGTAAAATGACAGCAGCCTACTAGATTCATATCAATTGTTTATTTGGCTTATGACTAATATTTTATTATCTTCAAAGTTTTTTCCCTAATGTTTAGCAGAACAAATACGAAAATACCTGATTTTTTCTAAAGTATAATATAATAGACCAGGCAATATTGCTGATATAAAAGTTAGGATAACGGAAGAAATTAACAAAATAAGCCCCGAGGTCATACAAGATGTTGTATGAGAATTCCAAAATCGCGTCGGTTATTGTCAAGAAGTGAATAATAGTGGTCAAGTTGAACATTTAATTTAATATCGTAAAGATTAATTTTTTAAGTTATAATTGCACAAACTCAAAAACTTTACATTGCTGAACAGAGGACTAAAATCCCTTTCTAACAAGGTGCTACACGACCCCCTTTGCTATTTAAAATTTTCGAGGGGTGCTTATAATCAAAGAGGGTGCTGGAGGGGGATATTATTTTCATACTGTAAATTGTCAATTTAAGAATAAAAATCGATATGTTTCAAGTTTTTTTCACATAGTACATAATAACGCTAAAAATGAATTTATTCCATACATATATGACCACATGGTATATCATCTTTGACATAATTAGAATACACCCTTGTCTAATTTAATTTTTTAAATCATATTATAAATATAATATATAATCTTCGTTAGAAATGATTACTACCGGCTACTTTTAAGTAGCCCCATACAAAAAAATCCAAGGGTGATAGCACATGGTATGATCTTGGAAGCCGTTAGTTCCAATCCATCTGTTTGGAACTGTGGGTTTAATGAAATTTATTACTATACCTGTGTTATGTTGGGTGCACGAGCTTCATCACTCCTCAAAATTCTAGTTAAAAAGTCATAAGTGCCTTGCATCATCACTTATATTATAGTGATGAAGGTTAGTCTTCAATTCAAATCGGTGGGTCACAATTTATGAACCAAATATAGTTTAAATGGATGGTAATGCCTGATTTTTTAAATTTTTTAGCTGTAGTTGCAGACAATTCAGTTTCTGCAGCAATAGACTTTATGGACACATGTGGATTACTCGTTATATGCTAAAACATTCGCCAAGTTTTGTTCGGTCTGTATTGGTTTAACATGATCTGTATGTTTAACATTTGAAAATGAAACTTGCCGCATCTTCTAAGCAAACAAAGCAAAATTTATATAAGACGGTGTTTCTTCTTTTATGAAAGCGTTTTGTGTATAAGGCTTCAGCATTTCAAGCAATTTTCCTACATTTACAATAAATCAAAAACATATCTACATATTCATTTGGAATGAATAGGAAAGAGATTTTTACTACTAACATTAGTAGTAACATTAGCTGATACTATTTGTAGTTGTCAAAAAAGGATTTAAATAAAATCTCAAGGATAACTTGCTTTTCTTTGGGATTAAAATTTAATTTTGAGGTGCCAGCGCCTGTGATGACGTCATAGATCTTATGTATACATCAATTGGTAGTATTGTAGGTACAATTGACATTACCCAATTTTCAAATAAAAATATTCATTACTTCCTGAATTATAGATTGTTAAAAACATCTTGGAACACCCTGTGTATAGAAGATCTATTGAAAAACTAGAAAAATATTTTCAATCATGTTGCCTATCTGTTTGATTGTGAATGGTTAAAACAAAGCGAGATTTACACAAGAAAAATATAAAATATTCCAAAATTTGTCAATTATAATTGAAGTTAGATGAGCAACTGTGCTTAAATTTAGTTTTGTTGTAATTCCGCTTTTATTATTAATTTTTATATTTGTACAAAAATTAATTCTAAAAAATGAAGGGGCATAAATATATAAATTTTAACTTGTGTACAAGTTTTAATTGGTGTACAAGTACTACAAGTAAAAGTTGTATTGATAGGTACTGATTCAAAAAAATAGAAATATGATTTTTTTATGTGTTTTTTGTGGAGTTACTGTTCTGTCTTTTGGATTTTTTATTTGAGAACTTTTTGTAATTCTCACCAATGGATTCCCTCTTTAGTAGTTGGACTTTATAAATTGGACCATAGCTCAGAAGATGGCTTTGTAAGCCAAACGTGCTTAACTAAGAATTAGATATTTTACACACTTCTAAAATACTTTTCTTTTCCATTCATTCAAAAATTAGATACATGTACAGTTCTAAAGTGGGTAAAAGTTCTAAAAATTAACCCTCTAACTGTTTTGTTTTCTTAATTGGATCAAAATGTCTAAACATTTCTGATTAGATTAATTTGGGTGATAACAAAAATTAGTTTCATGTCCATTTTTTAATATCTATTACAGTTTGGCCTCCAGATGTGAAAGAATGTAAACTGCCTCTAGACAGTTATAACTTTTTACTTGTAGAAACTTATAACAGGTATAATTTGAATAAAATAGTTAAAAAAAGGGTTTTTATTGTTAAAAGAAACACAAAAACGTAGCTTAATGAACAAAATATAAAAATAAAAAAGTAAAACAATACAAAAAATAAAACTCTGAAATATACAGAATTATCCATCAATGATAAGTGATAAAATCAGTTTTTTTCTGATGTAATACATAGGTTCAGATTGCATTGTATGTATTATTGCATTTTATCCACCTTGAGTATCAGATTTCCTAACAATATTTGCACCCTGGATCCCAGTATCTGCATTCAATATCTGTCCATTAGATCATCCATAAAATCAACACCACCTAGACTGTTGTACTCTTTAATGATCTGTAGACAGTCTATGTCAATGTACAGCTTATTTCTGTCATAACGAAACACTTTGTTTGTTTGTTGTTGACAAAATGATATTTGATATTGCATATTCAATATATAACAATCATATATTAACAGTATATCCCCTTTCTTCTATGGCTAGTTGTTTTCTTTATTAACTGGCAATTTAATTCAATTGGCCCAAATAGTTCCCAATTAATAAATACCCTTGTGTGAAAATACACTATCAGTGACAAAGACATATAAAAATTATAGTAGTAATCTGCAAAATAAATTATATTGTAATTGATCTGCAAAAACACTATTTAGCCAATTTGTATATAGAAACTATTCTTGTTTTAAATGTGAACATGTGAATTACTGACAGCTATAAATCAGTTATGGTGGGCTGTACATGTTGTTTGTAACTGAATTCAAACATTTTCTTCATTGAAAAATTCTCTAATACTATTAGGCAGTTTCATCTGTAGCAATACTGACTTGAGCTTTTTAGTAAATTTTTGGTTGTAATACAAGCTTTTAAAAACATCTTTGTAGTTTTTAAACAGATATTAGATATGGAAGTGTATTTTTAAATTAATAATTGTTACTTTATATGTTATGCTAAATAAGTTCCCTTTTCATTGAATAAATAAAATGTGTTGATAATTAAAAATTAAAAGCAGAATTTAATGATTAGATATTTATAACTTACCTAAAGATCTACCAAAAATTATTATTTCTGAATGATTAATATCATTCCTGGTAAACAAATAATCTAGACTTGCTTTTGCATCTAAATAAAGGCCATCTTCTGAAGGTACACCTTCGGACAACCCATATCCTCTATATTCAACTAACAAAATATTACATTGGAGTTTACTGTACATTCCTGCACAATTTTGTAACCTATGGCCAATGTTCCCTGCATTTCCATGAAAATAGACTATTGTAGGGCATGGTTTTTGTTTATCTTTGGACTGATAAATGAAATACATATGAATTTGTATTCCATCTGAGGTTTTGGTCATTACACTCTCATACGGAAGGTTAAATGTGGATGGTATTGGTACATAGACCCTTGAATGTGTAGGCAATTCAGAATTATAAAGTAAACTGTCTTGAATTTGATACAAAATACCTGTAAAACAAATTCTCTTGTACTACAACCTTAGCATTACTAAACTTAATATTTACCTGTGACAGCAAAAAACAATAAAATCATAGCAAATACTGCGCCATATAAATAATAAACTAGGCAACAAAATACTAAAACAAGACCTGAATACGCCCAGACCCTCAAAATCATCCTAAATAAAATTGTGGTGATTCTTGCAGCAAATGGCACATAACCTCCCATAGTTGCCTTCTTGAAATTCAATTAAAAGGGATATAATAAAATTACTTCTAAAACATTACTGTGTTTTTTACATCTTGATTGCAAACTGTTTCCTCAAATATTTTGGTTAATTTCCAACACATAAAACAAACATGACACACTCATTTGTGTCAAAATATAGCTGATTAAGGTTATGGTTATTGCAACAAATTTCCTCTTCTTTTATAAAGTTTTATTCAATGATGTTTACAAAGTCATACATGACATGACATATGGGAACCAGCACATTAGACAGTTTTTAAAGGCCAAAATATGTTTACATGTAAATTATATTAAAACTGAAATTATTTGACAAAAATAAATGGATAGTAAGTAATATAATTACTTATATTGACGTTTAACTAACTGCATTTTATTTTTAGCACATTTAGTCGTGGAATTATGTATATTATTATTTATAATAGTGATCGCGAGAATTTTGTTTTTGATCCACAAAAACACTACAGGATACAGTAGATATGCATCTGAAAAGAGAATTAAAGCTTGTAAAACTGTAATATGTATAGGTTCAGGTGGACACACTACAGAGATGTTGTCTTTAATAGAAAATATAGATTTTAATAAATATTCTCCAAGGTACTACATAATTGCCAGCAGTGATACTACTAGCTTAACCAAAGTGGAAAAATTGGAAGAAAGTAAATCTTCGAACGGCGACAATGGAGAGTACTATATTACAAAGATTCCTCGCAGTAGGGTAGTGCATCAATCATATTTTACTTCAATCTTTACCACTCTATTTTCTATACTTTACAGCATTCCACTTGTATTAAAAATACGACCAGATCTCATTTTATGCAATGGCCCTGGTACTTGCATTCCCATTTGTGGACTAGGTTTTTTGTTGAAATGTGCCTTCATAACAAACACAAAAATTGTTTTCATTGAAAGTTTTTGCAGAACGAAAACTTTATCCCTAACTGGTAAAATTTTGATTTACTTGGCGGATAACTTTTTAGTGCAGTGGCCTAGTTTGAAGCAAAAAGTTAAGAGAGCTGACTATATTGGTCAATTAATGTGATATGTGTAAGAATGTAAATTGTATGTGTTGTGTTAATGTATAATAAAAGACTTAAAATATGTATGTTTAATGTTTCACCTCAGTAAAAGAATATGACAACTTCAAGAAAACTATATAGCAACAATAATATTCATCAGTTACATTCTCCCAGTATTTTATAATTTTGTTAATGTTGTAAGTTGTTCTGTAATGGCTGCTGCGCAATAATTTAGCAGTTCATTTGACATCCAATCTTTTCCCGCAGCTGTTCAAGTGTTTTTTGAACTAATTAAAGTCTTTATTTAAATTTGGGGTTCAAAGGAGTAGTGATGCGCAACAGAAAATTCCACCAAAAACTTAACAAAAGGAGAAAAGAATTTAAACCAAGAACAATGATGTGTAGAGACAGACAAGAAGATAGTAACTCAACAGAGTGAAATACTACAAAGATGGACAGAATTCTTCAAAGAAAAGTTTGAAAAAAAAAACGAATATCCACTATATGATGGAATTATACTGGATCAAACAGATACCAGAGAAACAACCCCCCCTTCAGTAGCTGAAATGTGAGAAGCAGTTACCAGACTGAAAAACAACAAGTCACCTGGATTAGACATTAGCGCAGAATTAATAAAGGAAGGTAGAGGCTCCCTATTGAATGCGATATACGAACTAATAGTGAACATATGGAATAACAAACAACTGTCACAAGACTGGAATGCCGGAGTAATTATTCCACTACATAAAATGGGAGATCAGCTTCAATGCAAAAACTACCGGGCAATAATGCTACTGACTGACATATAAAATACTGTCAAAATATTGTGTATGACCGATTGAAACCATATGTGGAACAAATAGTTGGAGGATATCAATGTGGTTTCCGCAGGCAGAAGTCCACAATAGATCAAATCTTTTTCATTGACTTTGAGAGTGCCTATGATAGCATCCATCGAGAGTTTCTGATCCATGCACTGAAAGAGTTTAATATTCCAACTCAACTTATTGATATAGTAAGAGAAACACTTAAAGTACAAAGCAAAATTCGAATTCAGAACGAACTAACAAATACAATCCATGTGAGAATGGGCCTACAACAGGGAGATGCCCTATCCTGTATTCTATTCAACATCACATTAGAGGAAATAATTAGGGAGTCAAAAGTCAACACCCGAGGAACAATAATAACAAAAGTGTACAAATATTGGCATTTGCAGATGATGTTGATATCATAACTAGAAGCGAAAGAGAGATGATATAAACATTTATTTAATGGACTAATTAAACATCTAAGATCTAACAACATTACTGTCGAAAAGAGATGAGAACCTATTAGGTACATTTGAACGAAAAATCCTTAGACACATATATAAGGGGGGTAAAGGAAAATGACATATGGCGCAGAAGATATAACTTTGAACTATACACAGCATACAATGAACCCGAGATCATAAAATCCATAAAGATCGGACGTCTGCGCTGGATCGGCCATGTTGAACGGATGTTGGAGACTGAAACGCCAAAACATATAATCAGGCAAATACCAGTAGGGAGAATGTTAAAGGGAAGACCCAAACTTAGATACATGGAACAAGATCTCAAAACACTTAAGATTACCAACTGGAAAAACAAAGCAAAGAACAGAATGGCAGAAAAAATCCTAGAACAAGCCAGGACCCAGAAAGGGTTGTCAAGCTACTGATGATGATGAAAATCTGATTCAGCTCTGATAATATTTCTTTTCGAAGTTCATTTGATTTTAAAACCACAATAACAAAAAAAAAAGCTGAATGTATTGAAAGAATTGCTTTAAAATTACTTTATAAAATAAAAATATGAATTTACTATTAGTTAAAACTTTTATTGGCATATGTAGGTTCATTTAAATACAATTAATTTTTGAATAGCAGGAAATGTAGTTTTTTATTATTGTACTCATGAATGATTCCAAGGTTTATGTATTTAACAAAAACAATAATTACCATTCAGCATTAATTAAAAAATGTTTATTTACAAAAGTATTTACAAAGATGTTATCTATAATCTTAAAAACCATATTTTGCCCTACTGGCATACTTATTGTTCTTGCTGGCAGCCCATTGGCTTTGCAACTCCTGTTCATTGGCTTTAGCTTGTTGTGCTAAATATGTAATGTGGTGTTTCTTTCTTCTTGTTGGGATCCACAGGATCTTCAACAGCACTCCTTGGTGCCATTTCAGGATCCGTAAGACTCTTTGCCATCCAAAGATCCTTGTCTGCTAATATTTCTTCTTCATTTATGTCAATTAACTTTATATTTCCTATAGGTCTCCTAGATTTTCCAATGAGCTCCTTGAAAGCTCGATTATCAAGACCTTCATAAGGTTTGACAGGTTCAGGAGCAATGTTGATGATTTCTTCTAGTTGTGGTTCTTCATCTACTTGAATAATTGGTTTTGTTTTAGGTCTGCCACACACCTTTTCCCACATTTCATCATCATATGTGTCTGGTACATCTAAATCATCATCACTTTCTGCATCACTTAATGCTATCTTAGCTTTGTCTTTTTGTTTCTTCAAAGCAGCTGCTTTCTGTAAGATCTGCATTCTTCTTTACCCGACTTGGCACTAAAGCACTTGTTGCACTACTACTTGCTACTGGTTTGTTTTTGTTAGCAATAACATTTGGTACGAAAGATATATTGGATTTAACAGCTCCTTTAACTGGAGGTAACAATCCTATTAACCCACTACCTTTTATTGAAGGTTTAATTTTTTTGACTTCTGGTTCGTCATCATCTTGAAACTGGGATAAGGAGGGAATGGATATTTTGACCTTTTGTCTTTCTTTTTTTAGTGGGATAGATGGAGGTTTTGGAATAAAATCTTCTATTTTATCTTCTACAATTTCCTTAGCAACAGTTTTAGTTTCTGGTAAGACTGAAAATAGGCTTTTTGAATCTGCTTGGTCATTTTTTGTAGTAATTACATCTGTATCTATTTCTTCATCAGAAATGTTATCTTCTAAAATATTTGTACTATTAGGTTTACTTATTTCTTGTCCATTTGTTTTTTGGATCTCAGTTTCATTCGGAATAATCACGGAACTTGAACTGGGGCTATCTTCTTCCTCTTCCTCCTCACTACTGCCATAATCATAAGACACAAGAGCCATAGCTAAAAACATTAACCAATATTTATTATCGCCAACTTACTTAACGTATTTACATGAGATTAGAATTTAACCTTCTCTGCTTTGACCAATGTTACCAAATACTTTGTACAAAACCGGCAAGCAACGAGCAAATTAAGTCAGTACATTGTGAAATCTTTGCAAGAGAAGTAATTTTGTCCTTAGAAATATAACATCGCATTTATTGGTGTAAATTATTATTTTTAATTACAGTCATAAAAATATGATTAAGGTAAGTTAAATAAACTTGTTTACTCACTTAAAACTACACAATAATAAATGAACTTGACGTTTAAACCATCAAAAGAGGAAATTTTCATGCAGTATGTATAGGTTAAGTCCCATTTTGTGTTAGTGTTTTCCATTTCCTAACTTTAAATTTACTTAATTTTAAGAGTATTATCCAATATTTTTGTATTTAAATTACATGTTCATACAATAAAATAACAATTTAATACAGGTTTAATTTTGATCAAAATTATAAAATTTGGGAATAGCTAATCAACCAACCGCATGTGTAAAAAAAAAATATCAACCTATTTTTAGGGAGCAGTAAGTTTGGTGACTGGTGGAGCCTCTGGATTGGGAAAGGCGACGGTAGAACGATTAGTTCAACAAGGATCTCGAGTAGTACTTTGTGACTTACCAGCTTCGAAAGGAAAAGAAGTAGCAAACACTATAGGCGAAGATAAAGTACTGTATGCACCAGTTAACGTGAGTTTTATCACTTACTTCCAACAACAATTGGCGCTTTGAACAATTATTTATATTTTCTATAGGTTATTTCAGAGGAAGATGTCAAAAATGCATTAACGGCAGCCAAAGATAAATTCGGAAGATTGGATAATGTGATAAACTGTGCAGGAATTGGTGTAGCATTTAAAACTTATAATTTTAGGAAGAATGCACCTCATAGTTTAGAAGATTTTGCCAAAGTTTTACAGGTATGAATAAATTTGTAGATGCGTATAAATATATAAATTATACACTTATATATAAAAATCCCAAAATATATTTTTGTTAGTGGCCTTTCTTACATTTGTGGTCAAAATTTAACCAAATTAATCATGTCTGGCATATTGTTATTTAAAATGTAATTGTAATACCTTTGTTATAAAGCGTCACTTTTAGGTTAACACCATTGGTACTTTCAACGTTATTCGACTTGCCGTAGGAGTTATCGGGGAAAATGATCCAGATCAACACGGCTGTAGGGAGTTGTCGTAAATACAGCTAGTATAGCAGCATATGACGGTCAAATGGGCCAGGTAGCATATTCTGCTAGTAAAGGAGCTATAGCTGGTATGACTTTGCCTTTAGCTAGAGATTTGGCGAGTCAAGGGATCCGTGTGGTTACTGTAGCACCTGGTATGTGCAGTAATTCAAACATTGCTCTGTTTATATTAATATATATATATATATTCGATTTTCTAGGTCTATTTAAAACACCTTTATTTGATGCATTGCCTGATAAAGTAATTCAATTTTTATCGAAATCTGTTCCATTTCCCCCAAGACTTGGTAATCCAGAAGAATTCGCACATCTAGTTCAGAGTGTAATAGAAAATCCAATGATGAATGGTGAAGTTGTTAGACTGGACGGAGCTTTGAGGATGCAACCATAAGCGCTATGAATAGATGTTAAGAATACATGATTTTACACTTCATATAATATATATTATAATATTATATAATTTCTTAATGTAGTTTTTTAAATAAAATTATTCCGTAATTTTGTTGCGTATACACTCCCGACAATGATACCTAACTTCTAGTTGGTTGCTGTTAGCCGTAAGCTGTAAAGAGCAAGGTAATTATTAACAAAGAAATGTAGTTAGCACATTGCCTCGCCCAAGTTTGCCTTTTATTTAAAACTGTTATTTGAATTTTGCAATTGAAATGAAATTTAAACTAATTGCAATTTGTAATAATACGTATCATTAATATGAAGATTTGATGTTACACGGCAATTAAACCCCAAAAAAAATGTGGTACTAAAGCGAGCTAAACAAATTTTCTTTTATCAGTAACTCATAAACCATATCCAGTCAAAATTCAATAATGTCAATTGTCAGTAACAGTAAATGTTGGTAAATGCAGAGAACATAAATGTTTCAGTAATTCTTACTTCTCAACTCTGATTAAAATTTTATTCTTTATATATACCAGAACCTTTGAATTTAATTAATAATGTCGGAAGGAACAAGTAAGGAACCGCAAAAGACTCCTATGGTGTACATTTGTGGCGGTAAGTAAGAAGTATGAGGTTAACCCAACCATGTTTACATTCTTGCAATTTCAGAATGCCACAACGAAAATGAAATCAGACCCAGAGATCCTATTAGATGCAGAGAATGTGGTTACAGAATAATGTATAAGAAAAGAACAAAGAGATGTATCCTTTTTATTTAAATTTTATAAATTTTAGGTGTTCATAGTGCAAGGTTGCACAATATTCTTACTTTAATCATCTCTTTACTTCTGTTAGGGATGCGATTTTGGCTTCTTGTTCAACAAGTTGGGCAAATAAGACACCACATTCTGGAAGAATTAAATTTTTTTTGCTATTTAACACGTTCGCGATGACGTGTACCACCGGTTGGACATGCCTAACTTTTCGGTTAACCGCTTGTGGTCACCGGTGGTACCTTTACATTTCTTAACTCTCTAAAACCTTACAGTTAATAGATATTTTGTTTATTTATATTTCGTACACACTTAGTATAGTTTTAAATATATGGGTTTGGCATTGTTTTGGCATATCATAATTTATATGGTGACAAATAAGGCCAAAAAACTGCAATAAAAATGGTTTATTAAAATTAAAACATCGTAGTATAACATAGATATTGTACAAAACTTATACAAAAAGATAATTTAAACATACAAAACTAGGTGGGTTTGTGAATTTCATTAAAGCAAATAAGGCCATGGACATATAAATACGTCTATGAAATAAGGCACATAGTCTATCCTCACATATAACGAAGTACTTACACACTCTTTTTGTTTTTGTTCGAGCTAATTTTGATCCTCGTGTATCCTGAATTTTCTTATAACATGAAAAGCAGTGTATTCTTGTTTGTCTAGCACTACCTTAAAATTTTTGTATCATATGCTCTACCAAAGATAATTTTGGTTTTTTTCACTGGAACAATAGTTCACAAGGACTTTTTGTAACTTTACTTTGTAGTAGTCTTTCAATAATTTTTTCGCTTATAGATAACATATTGCATGTTTTAGGATTATTACCATAATTATTAAAAAGAACCCACATATTTACTATGCATGTGCCAAGACAAATTTTGAAACACACTTTCTTGTACTAGTTAATGCTTTTTCTTAACAGGTTATAATATGAAGACATTTGATTGTACAAATCCACAACTTTCTTTGCTTTATTATATGCAATAACCTCAGGTGGTTTTAGAACATCTTCACCTTGTGTATTTTTTTCCTGTAGGTTGGAGGTTTTACTGTATGGCTGGGAACTGTACTAATCATTAATACAGGACATTTGGCCATCCATTTAGCATCTCTTATGTCCTCATCATTTTGTTTTTCATATATTTGCCCTTTCTTAATTTTTTTTTAAATACAGTTTTGAGATTTTTTTGTTAGATCTAAGAGTTCCGCAAACATATGTTTTATAACTGAAGAAGCTTTTTAGATAAATTTATACTTGTATAATAATTATCAATATATAGTGTCCTTTCCTTCATACAAAGCCCCTCAAGTAATCCCATGCAAATATTGTAGAAATGTAAAAAATCTGTCAGGTATATTTGAACCAATTTTACCTGTGTATATGTTTAGGTTACATGTATAACCTTCAACAGTAACCTAAAGAGGCAAAAAACCGTTACAAATGCAACAAAATGTTGTGACACCCACAACTTCACATTGTGTCCACTGGTGATACACGTTTTTTATTGTAAGAATGTTCACTACAGCTGGGGTGTATCACAGGTGGTACATACAAAAAATAACTTTTAAATAGAAAAATATGGTTTTTAATTAATTATCATTAATAAACATATGAAAAATATATTCATAATAGTCAAAATACAGATTGTTAGTTAAAATCTTTATAAAAAAAATTATGGCTGAGAGGTAAAATATCTGAATTCTGCATCATTGCGAACTTGTTAATGTTAGGGATCTGATTTTGGCTTCTTATTTCTTTTTGTTCAACAAGTTAGGACAAATAAGACAGCACACTATTTTTTGATTGATGATTTTTCATTTACTCTGGGAAGAATTAAAAATATTTTTGCTTTTTTACTGTTTAAAACATTTGTGAATTTTCCTTAACACAAATTTCAGTGGTTGTTTTTGATGCAAGATAAAGATGTTCCAAGGAGATCTTCAACTGATTTGTATATATTGACAGTCCTAACTGATAAGGATTAGGTCCAACAATCTATGTTAATTTTATTTTTTGTGTACAATTAGTAATTTGATGAGAATGTAACTTCTAGTAACAAGTAAATATAAAATGTATGATTATTATTGTCTTTGTGTTTTATTAATTGGTTGAATATTATTTGGATAACATAGAATATCTTTAAAAATAAAGATGATGTAATAAAGATATTAAAAAAATAAGAAAATTTAACAGTTTCAAGTGTAATTGTATTTGCAGATCAAACAATGAATATTATAAAAAAAAACATTAAAAAGAAGTTAAAAGAATAGCAAACAGAAGATCATACAAAAACAGAAGCAAGATCTATTCAACCTTTAAACTAGAAGAAAATATAAATATACAGTAGGATGTGATTGATGACATGATTTTTTAACATCTAGTACAGCCCTAAATTTTCTCAAAAGGTCCATCCCCAGTATTAAACTGGTCAGAGATTTCATCAATTACTATTTGTGGTTGACTCATCTGGCCAATACATACCGATGTATTAAATCCTCAATGTTTTAATTATCTCACGAGTTGTTCTGATTGTTTGAAGTGATAACTATGACAAACTTATATTATTTCTGGCTGTGCAATAGTTTTTGTCGCACCCTGGACTACCAGTAGGGCTATCAATGTACAAGCTATGAACTTCACCATGTTATGTTCACAGTAACTACAGGGACTTTACTTCATGAAATTGATGTTTGCCTAGTTTTCTGATATTTGTATTGGTTTGTTGTAATTGTGATGAAGGTAACCTATTTTACCACAATTCCAACATCTGGACTCATGTTTCGTAGGTCTTTTGTCTCCAATTATTTTCCAGATTGTTCAAACTAGATGGCCCAGTGAAGTTTGACTGTCAGTTTCATGTCCCAAGACAATAACAAGTGCTTCATCTAATAGTTTTGGTCTAGATAATTTTAATGATTTCTGTAGGTCACTATCTCAACCCATTAACAAATGTATCTTCTGCTATTTATTATAAAGCTGCAGTGAACTAAACAACATTTTCTTCTTTTATCCAATGGTTGTTCATCGCAATAGTTTCAAATTGTCTCAAGATAGATGGACCAAGAAGACTAAATTTCTGTTTTAAAGTCTCTTTTTTAAATTGTCTTTCAAACAAACTCCAACTCTCGAAGCAGATATATAGGTACTGGAGCAAGAACAAGAACATGGAGAAGGTTGGACCTGAATAGGAAACATTGGAAGGATCCTTTAAGGGAAACCAAGGGCAGTCGAGCTATAGAGAATAATAATGACACAATTTCCTATTATGTCTTCGATAACAACTGACATATACTTCTACCAGTAAAAGACATAGATAATACTAGTAAAAACAATTGCCAAAAAAGTTGGCAACTTATACAACAAGAATACATTTTAGAAATTGCCAACCACTAATACCCAATGAATTTATAAAAAACATTACATAATAAGATCAAGATGCCGCATTGAAATTGCACTGTCAACTTTTAATAGAATGAGAAAACTTTTTTGTAATCGCGATACCAATATATCGCTCCGGATAAGAATGCTTCGATGTTATATTTTCTCTACCCTTTTGTAAGGAGTTAAAGCTTGGACACTTAAAAAATCCAACATTAAAAACCTAGAAGCATTCGAAATGTGGTGTTACCGACGTATTTTGAAAATATCATGGATGGTTCGCAAAACAAACGAACAAGTTCTCGAACAACTAGGAAAACAATGCGAAGTTTTAAATTCCATAAAAAACAGGAAATTGGAATACTTGGGGCACATCATGAGAGGTGAAAAGTACGAAATACTAAGGAATATAAGGCAGGGTAAAATCAAAGGTAGAAGAAGCGTAGGAAGACTTAAAATCTCGTGGCTACGCAATCTCCGTGAATGGTTTGGATGCAGTTCAATTGAACTATTCAGGCGCGTAACCAACAAAATTATAATTGCCAGAATGATTTCCAATCTTCGATAGGAGTGGAACTTGAAGAAGAAGAATAAGATCAAATCACGCACTCACTCCAGCATACAAACCCAGCATAGGAATCACTGACGACCCATATTGCTACTGTAGTAGAATGGAAGATCTACACACCGTATATTAGAGTGTGGACAGTACAGATAAAGTATCAAAATATTGTATAAAAGGTTAATTGAACTTAATTGTCCTTTACCTGTAAATTTAAATACAATTGCTTTTTCAAATAACAAGCATACATTAAATGTATCTACGAATACATAACGCCTGTAAATTTAAATTATAAGTAGGCTTAGGTAATAAAATTAAAAATTATGAATATGTATTAAAAAACTGAAAAAATGTGTCTCCGAACATATAACTCTTTGTAAATTTATATTATAAGTAGGTATTCCAGAATTCACTCTTCGTGGTAAACTAAAGTCCAATCGCCATAAAAAAAATAAAACTTGACAAGAAACCAATTTTTAATGATAAATGGGAATCTACCTAATTCACTTCCTTCCCCATTCCCCCAAATGTATGAGGGGAAGTTTCACTTCCCCCTCATACATTACACAGGCGTCAACCTCTTGGCCTAACTTTTTTTGGGCCCCTAAAGAATGCTTTAAACCGTGAGTGCGACTTGTATATGAGAACTCATATTCATGAAAAGATCACACATTTTAAACTTGCTTCCATATCAAAGGAATCAGAGCTTCCTGAGTATATTTCAGAGTTGCCACGATGGACAAAGGAATATCCGGGTTCCGTTCTGCTAGAATATAGCCCATAGTTCCTAATAAATTATCTGAAGATGATTTCAGTTTAGTAGGTCATACTGAAGTTTCAGATATACACATGTCTTCTTCTTCCTTCTAGTACTGTAGGCTTTAAAGACTGTTTTCTTCTTCAATATTAGCCTCCTAAATTGTTTAAATTGTCGCACCATATTTTTCTTGGTCTTCTTCATCCATTTGGTAACTTATCTCATGATATTCGTACTATTCTATCCTCTGCCATTCTACTGATGTGTTCGTTCCACTCCTGTTTTCGTTTGTCACCCATCCATTTATGTCTTCTATATTGTATGCTCTTCTTATGTTTTAGCTTCTCTCCCTAGCCAACAGACTTCTCCCTGATATTTGTCGGAGTATTTTCATCTCTGTTGTTTCTAGCAGTCATCTCGTTTTAGATGTGTCAGGTCTTGTCTCCGCCGTGTATGTTAATACAGGTCTAATTGCTGCATTATAGATTCTTGTTTTTGTGTATTGTCTTAGGTGTTTGTTCTTCCAGATTGTGTCATTAAGACAACCCGCCGCTTTACTTGCTTTTAAGCTTTATTGTCGTACTTCTTCTTCAACATATCCGTAACTAGCTATATCTATTCCCAAATATCTAAACCTTGTAACGAACTTAAATGAAACCGACTTATACCAATGAGACAGTGGTCTTGAACAGTCGAATGAAAATTTTAAAGTTAAGCACAAAACGACACCTTCTTCTTTTCTTCTTCAAGTGCCCTGTCCGTTGCGAACGTTGGCTATTAACATGGCAATTTTGATCATGTTTGCGGCGCTTCTGAATAGTTCGACCGATGTGAGCCCGAACCACTTCCGCAGATTTTGGAGCCACGAGTGTCTTCTCCTGCCTGGCCCTCGCTTACTGTCTATTTTTCCCTGGACAATCAATTGTAGCAGGCGGTACTTATCGTGTCTTAATATGTGGCCTAGATATTCAAGCTTTCTTTGTTTAATTGTATTCACGATTTCTTTCTCCTTTCCGATTCTTTGGAGTACCTCTATGTTGGTGACATGTTCGGTCCAGAATATACGAAGAAGGCGTCGGTACACCCACATTTCGAATGCTTCTAGTTTTCTCGTTAGCGTCTCCGTCAGCGTCCAGGCCTCCACGCCCTACAGCAAGATCGAAAAAAATGTAGCATTTAACTAGACGTAGTTTTAGGGGAAGAGACAAATCCTTGCTTATGAGGAGCTTTTTCATATTGCTAAATGCTGCTCTAGCTCGTTCTATTCTCGCCTTAATTTCTATGGTCTGTTCCCATTTTGCATTTACGTTGGTGCCAAGGTATACATAAGATTCTACATGGTCAATTAGTATGTTACTTATCCGTAATTGTCGAGCAGGTTGTTGCTTTTTTGCTTATCAGCATCCACTTTGTCTTCTTGAAGTTGAGGCTCAGGCCGTATTCCTCACTAACTGAATAAACTATTTCCATTACCTGTTGTAATTCGTCTATGGTACTGGCAAGGATCACCGTGTCGTCGGCATATCTTATATTGTTCGTTAATTCGCCGTTTATTTTTATTTATTATTATTTTTTTATTATTTAAAACGACACCACAAACAATAAAGTCGAGATGTGACCTAGAAATTCATCTAGAAATACCGAACCTCAACCGGGATCATCGAGATTTGATGAAACTATGCACAAGACTCCATCTAATAATGCGAAATAGAAATCAAACCAGCGAGCTGAACCCCAGCTAGGAACGTTAGGAAATGTTAAAACTGAGTCTAGTGTATCTATTGAAAAGCTAGCGCTTTGCAAGGTGTGCAAAATAAACGAGTACTATTTAGTAATAACTATAGTGCGCTAAAAGCAAGAAAAAAACAAGGTGGATGACAGAAGAAATACTGTGACTTATGAATCAAAGAAGATAAGTCAGAAATAAAAAAAAAACGAATACAAGAGAATCCACGCAATAATCAGGCAGAAGATAAGACACGCGAAAACACAATTTCATAGTAAAGAATGTAATGAAATTGAACAATATGAAAAAAAACACGATATATTTCATCTGCACAAGAAATTAAAAGAGGTCGCTGGAAATAAACGGAAACAAGTATCCCACAGTTTAGAAAACAGAAACGGACACACAATATTAGACATCAATGAACAGTTAAAAGAATGAGAAAACTACATTTCTGAACTATTTGAAGATGAGAGAGTAGAACACTATACACCGATTGCTATATCAGGTCCATCTATAACAGAAAGTAAGGTTACACGTTCAATACAAACGGCAAAAAATGGTCTTTTCCATTACTGATATTTTATATTAATTCCTTTGACCAAGAATTAATACAAAGTAACCATCTGGCTGACTTATCACTTAACCTATTTCTATGTTTTCT